ATCAAATAAAAACTTTTCAAGTGCAGTTGATTATTTATTCAACAACAAAAAGAAAAACATAGTTGTCAAATTATTAAAATTTTTTTTTTCACTTTTCTAAAAATGACAAGCTCAACGCAATTAACATATTATTTTGCTTTATTAATGAACGAGCGCCTTTATCCCAATAATCCAGTGCGCTCAATTGTTCTTCACTGTTATGATAAGTAAAATTATCGAATAATAAGTGAAAGCATTCACCACAACGACAAGGCACGCTTAAATATCTTTTGTACCAAGTAATATTACTTACTAATATACTTAACTTCTTTACCCGAATGCACCATTGCACTGATATCGTTATTTGTTAATTTATATTTTTCACCATTAATACATAGCTTAACGTTAATAATACGATAAAGCTTAAACTAAATCTCAAGCTTCGAAACTTTACGATAAACACATGTAGTTTTTAGTCTTATTATAACCTAAGCGATAATAGCTCAGATGGCTAGAGCAGGAGAGTAACTTTTAGTTTTGCGGCTCCAGGTTCTAATCACTTGAAGCAAATTTTTTTTTTTTGTATTCCAATATCACTTTCAATGTTTCATACATTTTGTTTCATGATTACTGACGTACTTTGTTTTACCAGTGACCAAAAACATTTTTTTCAATTGCTTTTTATGAAGAAAAAATTATCAAAAAAGAAAATCATAACAGCTTTGTTTGTGGTAATACCTGTAATAGGTGATTATGAAAAAATGCACGTTTTCTCTGTGGTTTTTCCGGGCTGGAGACCGGCACAATTAATGTGGCCACATTACGCTCGCGTTTTTTAAAATTTTTATTGTTTTTTTATTTTTATTTTTTTTTTAATTTGTTGAGTGCTTGACAAATTTATTGAAAATACTACTTTAAGACAAATTTAATGATGAAAACTAGAAGAAGTACTACAACAAATTAATAAATACTGTGAATTTTTGTAACTGTTATTATTTAAAGTCGTGATTTGTAAGTTGAGTTGTTTTTCGAAAGCACTATAATTATTTCGTTAAGCGATTATTTTACGACTCGAATTGAAAGGTATAATACAATTCTCAGTGACGCACACATTATGTACATAATTATAAAAATAATAAATATCGTGTGGTAAACAATATTTTTACAGAAACTTAAATTCATGACTCCTATCACACACAGTAGCGCATCCTATCTCGTTTGCATCCCATTTAGAAAGAGAAATTATTTTAATTTATTACGGCTAATAATAATATCGTGTAGTAAACAANTAAGTACTACAACGAATTAATAAATACTGCGAATTTTTGTAACTGTTATTAAGGTGAGGTGTTTTCCGAAAGCACTATAATTATTTCGTTAAGCGATTATTTTACGACTCGAATTGAAAAGTATAAAACAATTCTCAGTGACGCATGCATTATGTACATAATTACAAAAATATTAAATATCTTGTAGTAAACAATATTTTTACAGAAATTCAAATTCATGACTCCTATCACACACAGTAGCGCATCCTATCTCGTTTGCATCCCATTTAGAGCGAGAAATTATTTTAATTCATTACGGCTAATAATAATAATTATAATTATAATATCTAGTGAATTTTTTAGACAATGCAAAAACAGTCTTTATTCTTTGGCAATGAAACAAGTAATTTTTTTTACATGACTATCTAAGACATACCCATCAATCATTTTTTACGTAAAAATGATGAAAAATAGTAGTTTTCCTACGAGTTTAAAAAGTCTTTGTTTGCGAATCGAGAGGTTTGCGGGCCGAGCCGAAGGCGAGGTCCGTAACGAGGTTCGTAAAGGAGACTTTTCGAACGAGTATCGGAAAACTGCTTTTTTTCCCGAGGAAGTACCAGCCTCCCAAAACGACCGGAGGGCGGAAAAAAGTATTTTGTTGATAATTTTAAAAAGTTTAAAATTACTTTTTAGAATACCTTCGAGCAATTTAAGAATTCGTTAACATCATTAGTTGTAATGCAAACTGAAATAGAAAATTGTTACTTGATGCGTCAAATAATTTTTTTAGCCGTGTATGACAAATAATTTTCTTGGATTGTGTACCAATGTTGGAAAAAAAAAAAAATTTTGTAGTCACTAACAAAATACGTAAGTAATCATTAAAACAAAGTATAAAAAATTAAAAGTAGTGTTGTAATAATAAAAAAAAAAATTTGCACCGCGTGAGATTAGAACCCAGAGCCGCAAAACTAAAATTTACCCTCCTGCTCTAGCCATCTGAGCTATTAACGCGTAGGTTATTGTGAAACTAAAAGTTACATGTGTTTACCGTAAAGTTTCTAAGCTTGAGATTTAATTTAAGCTTTATCGTAGTATTGCCGTTAAGCTATGTATTAATGGTGAAAAATGTAAATTAACAAATAAAGATATCAGTGCAATGGGGCGTTCGGGTAAAGGTGTTCAGTATATTAGAAAGTAATATTACTTAGTTTAAAAAATATTTGAGCGTACCTTGTCATTGTGGTGAATGCCTTCATTTATTATTCAATATTTCCACTTATTATCAGAGTGAAGAACAATTGAGCGCACTGGATTATTGGGATAAAGGCGCTCGTTCATTAATAAAGCAAAATAATATGTTCATTGCGTTGATCTTGTCATTTTTTGAAAAAAGAAAAAAAAAATTTTAATAACTTGACAATTATGTTTTTCTTTTTGTTGTTGAATGAATGATCAACTGCATTTAAAAAGCTTATTTTTTTTCAGAGAAGAAAAGCGAGAAAAGTATTACGCGCAGCTCTTTTCTGTATGAGCAGTGTACAAATATAGCTATAGATATATAGCCCGTTGTATGCATGTACATATAGGTTTAGCTTCTCCTCTCTTCATCACCGATGCACACACATTAAGATTCTCATGTCTCAATCCTTTACTGATCTCCCCTTACCTCTCCCCGCGAGCCGAGCCAACAACCATCCAGCCAATAGAAAACGTGTGCATGGTTCCTCTGCTGGCCACGAAGGATTGGCGCTAAAATCAGCGCCGAAACATCGGCACACTCTTTAACATATTCACTGGCAATCTCCCTACTTATCTCTGCTCCAATAAAGCTTTGTGCTTTTTCAGCAAAATGGCTTCTTCCAAATTGTTCTGTTTTTTTATTACTTTCTGTTGATTTTATAAAAAGTAGTTAACTTTAACATAGGTATACTGTATACAAAATAACAGTTATGATTTAAGCTCGAATTTGAGCTTTTACCTAGAGGTTTTCTGTCTTATCAAGAGACGATAAGGATAATGGTGACGTAACAGGTTGTTACCAGCTGTATGTACGGCATGGTCCAGATCATTTATTTTTTGAATTTTTGATCTCAGTTAAAAATTAATAGCTATAATTATACCCTATAAATTATAGCTATAATTTTAGCTATAACTACCTATAAAACAGCTATAATAATGTATAAAATTCAGCTATAAATATAGCTATAAATTACAGCTGTAATCTTTTCACAAATTTTTAATAAAAATTAGTTTAAAATCAGATTTTTTCAACATATATCGATCAGTATAGACGGTATCATCCGTGTGATAACAGTAAAACTGAGGGCCTAAAGTATTTTTAAACAATTTTTAAAAAACTTGAAATTGTATATGATTTCTTGTTTTTTTTTCTACTTATTCAAAAATACTTCAGGCCCCCAGTTTTACTGTTATCATACGGATGATACCATCTGTACTGATCGATATATGTTGAAAAAATCTGATTTTAAACTAATTTTTATTCATTATTTGTGAAAAATTTACAGCTGTAGTTTATAGCTATATTTATAGCTGAATTTTATACATTATTATAGCTGTTTTACAGGTAGTTATAGCTATAATTATAGCTATAAATTATAGGCTTATTAATAGTTATAAATTTTTGACTGAGTATCATCAGGGATCGGAATAACCCTTATAAATGAATTTTCGTAGAAATATTTTTCGTATGTTTGTTTTTTCTGCATTTAGCGATTTTTTAAAGTTGTGGTTAAACTTATAAGCAAAAGTGGCAGCTCCATATCCTCGTGTATTAGCTCAGGTGCGTAAAACAAGCTGCAAAAGAGATACGTCATAAGTATGCTTCATGTAACTGTGGCAATGCGCAATAATTCGTTTATAATATGCAATAACCTGTAGAGGGCAAAAGATTGGTATTTAAGTGTCAGAAAATACTTACAGCTAAAAAACCTCGATACCGATCACCAGGACATCGTCATCGGTACCCCCATAAACCTATAGACTAGTGTTAAAGTCTATTTACATATTTATAATTAAAAACTTCAGGTGCCGATCACCAGGACATCGACATCGACACCCTTGTATACCTAGATGTGTATTCAAGTCTAATTAAATTTTTTTGATTAAAAACTTCAGGTGCCGATCACCAGGACATCGTCATCGGCACCCTTGTATACCCAGACACATTGATAAGTCTATTTGAATGTTTATAATTGAAAACTCTCGATGCCGATCACCAGGACATCGTCATCGACACCCCCGTGTACCTAGACTCTCGTTAGAGTCTAATTAAATTTTCATTAATAAAACTCCAGGTGCCGATCAGTGTTGATCAGTCTAGACGGTATATAATCTGTGTGATAACAGTAAAACTGAGGGCCTAAAGTATTTTTAAACAATTTTTAAAAAACTTGAAATTGTACATGATTTCTTGTTTTTTTTTTACTTATTCAAAAATACTTCAAGCCCCCAGTTTTACTGTTATCATACGGATGATACCATCTGTACTGATTGATATATGATGAAAAAATCTGATTTTAAACATAATTTTTATTCATTATTTGTGAAAAATTTACAGCTGTAGTTTATAGCTATATTTATAGCTGAATTTTCTACATTATTATAGCTGTTTTATACGTAGTTATAGCTATAATTATAGCTATAAATTATAGGCATATTCATAGCTATAAATTTTTGGCTGAGATTGCCAAGGAGCACAAGAATCTGATGAATTGGATACACTTGCTGATTTTGTGGTTGCGTTTTCAATTCCGAGTGACCGATTATGGAGCTCAATATCATCTATAGACTGCTTGCTGCTTTGATTTGATCCTTTTTTCACACTCTTTTGAGAAAGATAAAAAGTAATAATCTAGAAATTGCGGATAAAGACATAACTGGAAGAGAATATTTTTATTATTACTTACTTATGTGTTCCACAACCTTCTTTGCTGGACTTTGCTAAAGTTTTTCCGCACTTGCAGCAAGTAGCCTCTTGTGAAAAAAATCATATCGAACAACCACATAGTAATACCATGTAAAAAAATCACATAAAAACTCGTGGTTTTACCACTCTGCCTTCATGTGGTTTCTTGTCTCAAATCACCATGTGGTTTTTAAGTAAAACCATATGGTTTTTACAAGCTTTTCTTTACTATTTAGTAATAATAAGAATTATTTCTACTTAAATTTAACTATTTAAAAATCTTCATAACGCATCAAAAATGAATATAAAAATAAAACAAAAGAAAAAAAACCGCTAAGGTGAATTGAACTTTGGCTTACAGATTCTTAGCCAAGTATCTTATCCATTGGGCTATAAGAGTAGATTTGATTTCAATTTCCAATTTTGTGTCCTTATAAGGTACAGAAGGCACAGTATTCTATTATTTGTATTTGTACATAACTATTCACATAACTAGTTCTTTACATTTTAACTACAGTAAAATCGTGTGAATTTGTGTATGCAATAAATTTAACATTGTTATCAATAATACGTGTAAAGATATTTGTTTCCGAGATAAAATAGCTACGGCAATTAAACCTTTTATTTAATTTGTTGATTATAATGCTAAAATGATACACTTTTCAGTCATCCATTATCCAATAATTATATTGATATTTAATGAATAACTAATCAAAATAATAATTGTGTTTTACTATTTAGTTGTAGATAAAAAAATTTTACTTGATTAATTATATTCTAAAAATATATATTGCAAATGAAAATCCTTGAATTTAATTTATTATTAATAGAAGTATGTACAAATACCAATAATATAATACTATACCTTTTGTAGCTTATAAAGACGAAACATTCTAATCCAGCATCAAGTCCCCTCTGGTCATGTGGATGAGATACTTAAGTACACAAATTGTTTTAGTGTGTTATTTAGAGTAAAATCGTATGTATTATTTATATCTATGAATTTCGAGGACTTTGATTAACAATACATGATATATGATATTTATCTTCCGGTAAGTTTTACAAAAATTATAATGCTCAATCACAAATTATGATTCTGTTTTTTTATTCTTAAATATGTGGCAAAAAGTATCAGTTATAATTTTGATTTGTTATTTATTAAATATTTATATGATTATTGGAAAATGTATGACTGAAAATTGTATCATTTTGGTATGTATAATGAGCAAATTAAATTAAAGGTTCAATTGCCGAAGCCATTTTATCTTGGAAACCCGCAGCACAGGTCACAAGCTGATCGTCATCAACATAAACCGTACATAAGAACGATCAGTCTATGTTTCTAATATGTCTATGACAAGAATAACATTAGTTGGGGTGTAATCCGCAATCATCACCAGCAGTTACATATGTGAGACGTGACAACGTTTTTTTATTGGGGGGTGCTACTGTCGATTTACTGGTAATGTGATCCGCAATCCCACCAGCAGCAAAAAAAGCAGACGACGCGGAACTTCGTCCTATTTTGTTAAATTGTGCTAACGTAAACAAACACGCAGATTAAAATATCCTAAAACTTAAGCTACTCGAAAACATAGTCTGCTTTACTGCTGGCGCGACTGCGGATCACATCACCAGTAAATCAACAAAAGTGCCCTCCAATCAAGCAACGTTGTCACGTCTCACATATGTAACTGCTGGTGGTGATTGCGGATAACACCCAATATATAATATAAATTACATATAAGTACGTATGTATGTGCTATTAGTACAGTACATATATGATATTTAATTATTACATACTGTTGTGTATAGCTATATGTGTATACGGGTAGTACACTTTACAAACGAGAGATGAACGGCAGTGAGCATGCGGAGAAAAAGACAGAGAGCCGAGCCTCATCCACCCTTAATCTATAAAATCTCACGTAAGAAGTATAGCGAGAAAGACTGGTCACACTTCGCACTCGTCGATTGCTTTCGCTATGATGTACGCGATAGCTGTAGTCGCTATTTCCACTCCTCTCTTCGTAGGCACACATTCAGTATACCCCTTCCACGGTCCACACGTCACCAAAGTATGCGCCTACATGCCTATTTCCACGTGAATCCGTAGGCACACACTCGGCATACCCCTTCCTCGCTTCTCAAATAAAATGTGCACCAGGTTCGACCACTTGGCCATGATGGGGCGCTCACAACCGTGGCAAAAAGTGAACTCGCGCCGTAGCATTGCAGTGAGCAATCTCTCTAATAATTTCTGGTACGGACATATTTAGGTTCGTTAGTCTTGAAGATGAAAAAACGTCTGATTTTTTAACAAAAATCAATTTTATTTAACTTTTAATGCTGAAGAAAAATGTGCAAAAATCTAAATCGAGTGTTCTTGGAATTTTGTTCAATATTTAGGTCACCGATAATGAAAAAAGAGTTATGAAGGAAGTGTAGCTTGAAATTCAAATTAAGCATTTTAGGGTATCCTGGAAAGTGAAAAATATATTTTATGTACTGCGTTCGGAGTTGATGATCCGGCTCGAAAGACCAATTTTTCGATAAAAGGATTGTCTCTGAAAAGCAGGAATTGGCCAGGTATGTGGACGGTTGTACGGAGCGAGTTGTTAGAACGAAGCAGCCGAGAGAAGACAAGTCCGGCTTTTTTGTGAGTTGACGACTTGGTTGACTGTGGCTCTGTTCGGAAATGATATGTTGGTTAAGTATTAAGTTGGTACCTACCCCCACCCTGGCTTAACTAACTGACCGTGCGTTCTCACATGTAAACAATAGTTAATCAGCTGATCACATTTTGGCGCACTTTAAGCGCTTTTAAGGTTAAAGAGAGGACTTGAAAGCGCTCAAAGAGCGCCAAAACGTGACCAGCTGATTAACTATTGTTTACATGTGCGAACGCACGGTCAGTTGGTTAAGCCAGGGTGGGGGTAGGTACCAACCAAAAACTTAACCAACGCATCATTTCAGAACAGAGCCTGTGTCTTGGGAAGGAAGTGGGGGCTCGGTAAGGGCCACCATCACCAATGTAGGTGTAGCAGTTTGAGGTGCAGGCGTGCGATTCAAAACCAAACAGTGTGTAAGGTTCATTATTATTTACAGCTACAATTTTCTTTAAATAAGGTTTCAGCGCAAAATCGTAACATAAGCCTCTTTTAAATAGTTGTTTTTTAATACGTGTACAAAGTTATAACAAAAATAAATCAAGTTTAATAAAAAAAATTGAAAGAATGATTTTATTTAAAAAAATAACATGACTGAATATGAGGTCCCTACGATCAGCAAACTCAGCATAGAACTGATATGGCATGACTGACACACTACGACTATAAGTGATGACGGTATACGGTAATGTAGACTTACTTATGTGACAACAGAACCGTCACGCTGACATCAAAAGATCATGAATAGTACATTTGTGTCAATGTGACGCCATTTTTTCTTAGTTACAGTACGCCATCTATGCTGAATTTGCGGACCACAGGGACCAGATGAACCTCATAGTAAATCAAAATTCTAACATTAATAATTATTAACAAAAATGAAACAGAATAAATGTTAACTTATCATGTCATATTCTAATATTCCATAATGTTGTTATAAATTCTATGATTACTTTAGACTTTTTTTTTAATACGTGTGTCTTATACAAATTAAAAATCTCTTCCTAAACAACAGTATCTACTCCCAAATTATTTTGAAGTTTTTATTGCATAAATATTTTTTATTAATTTTGTATCTTGATAAGGATACATGTTATTGCCCATTCAAAAAACAATTTCAAAATAAAATAAAATTTTTTTTCCTTTAAAATTTCACTGGTATACACGTATTAGGGGCCATTCATTAATTACGTAAGGTTCTCTGGGGGAGGGGGGGTGT